GGATCTTTTGAGATAACTTAGCAAATCAACCAACTACAAAACAACAGTATTAAATGTAAAGGTGCTGACTTTAACATCTTTTTTTTTTTTAACTTGAGACATTATTAGAATTTTAGCACAGCCCACTGTAGCGAAGACTAGCAGCCTCTACTGGTCTGTGTTCTGCATCTGTAATGTGGGCTGCTGGGTCTGATTTTTCAGGGAAATGCTGCTGAACTTTGGTGGTTATTATGCAGCACAAATGGAACATAAGCTGTTTACAGTTTATCAAACGAGCAAACAGAGAGGCGAACGAATGAATGGAATGAAAATATCCTCTTGAGTCAAGTAGAGGAAGAAGCTCGACATACGGTTCAGTGTTTCTCTTTGCAAAAAGAAAGCACCAGAGTTTATAGAAAATGCAGATTTTGTCAAAGACCAGCACTGACAGTCTCGTCAGGCAAGCGTTACCAAGCAGAACCAATCTGTGAGTAAATATGTACAGTTAAGCATTAATCATGAGAATTCATTTAACAGTGACAAAGAAATGTTTTGCCCAGGAATTTTACTTTAACAGATCAACTGCTTGAAAAATACAGACAGGTGACAAATTAAAAGAAAAACTTAAACCTTTGACCACTACAGTAAGAATATCCGGTGGCTCAGTTATGCCTGACATGTAGTCAGTTAAGTCTATGACTTGACTCGATAATTTTCTCACCATTCATTTATGTAAACAGATGATAAAAGATGCAGAATTATTGTCCAGGTCAAATTTCTGTTTAGCTCTGACAACTCATGACTTAACAGTTTGAGCTGCACTTAAAATGGCCACTTTTTTTTATTTGGGGGGTTGTTATTGGCTTCATAAACATTTAGGTGTAATTATTGGATAACTTTATGGTAATGATCTACCACATATGACTGTTGTGGAGGTTATGAGTTCTATGTAGTGTCCAATACGCAAATATTATAAGTGTAAAGTCAAAGATTATGTCAGAATTTTCACTTTACAAAACAACCATTCAAACCGCAGTATCCTTTTATTAGAATAAAGAATCCAATACTAAACTCACAAAGCACTGTCTGAAATGGCAGAGTTATATTATTTTTATTCTAAAACACTGCAGAGGAGTTTACAGTTGCACAATTCTACATCTATGCAGTGTGGACAAAGACAGGAATGTCTGCTCACAGACCTGACGGAATGCAGCTCTGCACTCACATTCCAGGACTGTCGTGTGTTTAGGCCTCTGGCTGATCAACACAAATTAGACGCATGTGCAAACCATATGAGGACACAGAAATGTGAACTTGTGATGGCATTTCAATCTCCAGTCTCATGATGCAGACTAAGACAGTGTGTGGAAATGTGTGTGTGTCTGTGTGAAGAAAAGCTCAAGTGGAAATGTACCTGAGCAAAAACCTGAGTAATGCTGGCTGCCGAGCACTCATTATCTCACTCATATTCTTCTGTTTGGCTAATGCTATTGTTAAGCACACACTCCCTCTCTGATATACTTCCCACCTAAGTGTGTTTCCACTCCTCCAACCAGCTGCTGTAGTTTTGAGAACCCAAGGAAGCTTTTGTGTTGTTTTTTTCCCCTCAGTGCCATGTTAAGATCATAAAACATCCCTAAAATTTCTCCACTACACACCAACCTCTCCAGTTCCATCCACCATCATGTGATATGTTTGTTAAATTGCTCTCGGGGTTACAGCAAATTCACCAAGAAATGGTACAGAGCTGGATGGCAAATTAAATAGTGCATGTGGCCCCTCTGTAAAACAAACAACCATGCAAGTGCACACTCACACAAGCCTTGAAAGACTGTGACGCCAAGAAAAAACCCACATCCACCACACCATCACGCAGAGAGCACATAGATGGTTCCCCTTCGCTGCTTAAATCCACTTCATTCTTATTCTAGTTCCCCCAGAGGCAGACTTATGTAACTAAAGTGCTTGGTGTTACACATGGAGAGATGAATAATCAAATAGTCCGGGGTTGCTAGCTTGCTTTGACCGAGTCAGTGGGAGGAGCTCTAGGAGCAAGTCAAGATTTTTAACATCTTTTCTCTCCGGCATCACTGCCCATCGTAGCTGCTGCCTGGAGTGGAGTGCCCATGTGTATGTGAGGACACGTGTAAGCTTTGCTGCGTGTGGAATGTGCACGCTGCATCATGTCGTAGCGTCTGTGAGTGACAGAAAACGTGTGCATGATATTTAGCGTCTGCATCAAGCCAGAATTGGCTGCATGCACGCTGGATGCCACTGCCACCTCCAGGCATCAGAGGAGAATGCTGAGATACCGTCTCCCACAGTGCTGCATTGTCAGCTTATTGGTGTATCAGTGTTTCCTTCCCGGTCAAGTCTGTCATCTGCTTGCACCGAAAGGAGACCAATGCATATTAATTCTGTACCTAGGGTGCAGTCAGGTTTTCAAATACTCACACACAAAGACATCTGCTCCCTCTCCTGATGGCTGAGCTCTCCGTGGTGCTGAAGTAAAAGTAAGCCAGGTGCTAGCTGCGGTTGTCAATGGTGCAGAATGCCACACATACTGGGGCTACTTTCCCCGCAGCCGCACACAAACCAAACCCCAGCCCAGCCATGTGAAGAGTGGTGAAGTCAGGGGGAGCGACAGCGCTGCCACGGTGCCTCTCCCCGCCGATGCCTTATATAATGCCACGCAATGTGACGACTGACCTGGCCATGATGGTTTTCCTCTGTCTGGGCGTGTGTGTTTGTGCATGTGTGACTGTGCGAGGGTGGGGAGGTGGAGCACACTATGTTCTTAACCGGGCCCTGGGTGTGGAGAGGAAGTGCAGTTATGGAAGTTGGCTCGAGGGGTACTACAGTTCAAACGCCGTCTGCATTTGAGCTTTGATGTCAAATCAACCCAGAGTTTGAATAAATGTGTGTGTGTGAGTGTGTGTGTGTGTGGGTGTGTGGGTGTGGGTGCGTGCAAAACTCACGAGGAGTTAAAATGGTCAGTTTGCTAAACCCAAAATGGTGGAATTATGTAGCACCTGACGATCCGTCCTCACAATATGTGGCTCGTGGTTGTTCATGCAAGTGTTTTGAATTAACCCACTCACAGCCTATTAAGCAACTAACGCTAAATGAATGCTGTTGCTCCCCAAGTGTGTCTCTCCCCTTTAAGGGACTGTAGCATTTCTCTGTCCTTAGCGCTGGCCACGAGAATGATTGGCTCCTTCTCACACGCCCCCCTCCATCGCCTAGGCAACATTGATTCTCAGTCCAATTACTAGGAAGGAAGGGGGCTGCTAGTGAGGTGTCTCTCTTATGAGAAATGTAGATCATTATGACAAAAGTGACAATCCAGAATCCGTCCTCGTATATCCTCAACATACACAGTAAAAACCATGCGCACCATCCCACTCATGCCGCATCCCCCTCCACCTAAAAGGAGTCTCGAGGCATGTGCGGATTCCATCCTGACATGTCAGTGGAGCTGTTTAATCTGCCACCATCAGCTGAGGACAAAATATATGTTTCACTGCATAATGCTGATGAGAAAATTTCCAAAAACTGTGATTTCCTCTAGGAAGAAAACACCAAGACAGTTAAATTAATGATGGCCCAGAAGAGCCACAGTTATCAGTCATTTTACCCAATATTCAGTTGTAAACCATTTGTCTTGCTTCAAATTAAAAGATCACACTCCTCTTGTAGGTTTGTATCACATTACACTGCACAGAAGAAAGACAGCCAGCTCAGTCCTTATTCCTTGTGTTCCAAGTGTCTAAACACTACACTGATCTCTGATTATTTTAGCAATAAAATAGTGGTGTAAGCACTATTTAGAGAAAGTGTGTCACAGCTGCCATGCCATATTACTGTAGTGTATGTATATCTGTCTGATTTTACCAGTGACATTGAAATTTGTGTATTTATCCAAATATTGACTGATTTTCAACATAAAAAAATGTAACTGGAATGTATGAAAGTATAAAAATGCACTTAACTGTCTATGATGCTTTACCGTGCCAAAGCTTCACATTTGCTGACAGTCCCCCACAGTCCCATTTGTACAGCGTTGTTGTCACTGTAACCACAGAAACTTCCCAAATGCCCAAGGACAGCACACATCCAGCAAATAACCACATTTTAAATGGAAGCTCCTTTTAGTGGTACATTCTGAGTGAGGAACAACGGAGATTAGATGACGAAATGAGAAGTGGAAGGAGTCACAGGATGGAGGAATAATTAGACAAACAGGGATCAGAGATCAGTGAGAGTGTGCGGTTTTGGGGAGGACAGATAGAGCCTGAAACTTGAGAGCCACTGGGCTCGCTGTCATTTGTATGCTCAGCACACTGCACCCAGTGCAGGGACTCTCTTAGTCCTGTTTACATTTGCACATAGTTATTTATTCTGCTCTAATTCAAGCCCTCGCAGCCTGTGTGAGGGCTTGACTTCCTGTTCGGTGGTCCTGGAGCACTGCAGCAGCACCTGGGCTCGCCTTTGCCAAGGATCTCCATCACCCCGACACCCCAGGGACGATTAAATGCTGCATCCCAAAGGAGCACCAAGAACCGCAACCTCAAACAGCAGAACCATGCACCTCTAATGTGTTAGCGAGCTGGCACGCACACACCCTGATCATGGCACTCGCACACAGTACACACAATCACAGGCTCAGCTGCAGGGAGCTATGTGTAGGACTATGCAGATTCAGTGCAGGTACAACTTTTAACCCTCTTGTCACCAAGCTATAAAGAGGCCTAACTGAAGGTAAATCCATATCTAAGATGATATTTTGAGGTTTAGGCTCATTGTGTTGTTTCATGACGATGGTGCTGATGATGATGATGATGTGGAGGAGGAGGATATGGTAACATGCTACTGCTGAAGGTTAAGAAAATGATCTATAAAAAGACATGCCATCTATTGCCTCAAACACCGGATTCAAAGGAGATCTGAGCACGAAAAAAACGCTCTGCAGCAAATGGATAGACGCCCTTCTTCAAGTAATTGCTCAGTTTGACCCTTACCTGTATCAAAGTGAGAGCTGAAGGCAAAGCTGGGATTGAAAAAAGCTGAAGACATGACAATCACATGTAGGGCAAAGACCATCCTCCTCGTTGCGTTGCAGAAGACAGCAAACCCTAAACGACAAAACAAAAAAAAGGTCAAAAAAATAAATTCCTGACTCAGGTGCGTTTATGATTCAAGTAACCTTTAGTAGCCTAGAAGCAGCAATGCGCAGCGTTTTATTCCATCACACCTCCCAGAGAGCTCCCCGAAAATCCTGCTTCACCTTCAGCTCGAGCAGATTTGGATACAGATGTTGACAGTCGTTTCCATTTCACCACATCTGTGAATTCACTTGTTTGACAACAATATCCACGAGTCTTTCTCTCTTTTGACGGCTATTCTGGACAGATTCGGAGCACCTACTCGGTCGGTCACCCGGTGGAAATCTTATTTTACGCCGATTCTGTAAACTGTAAAATCTTGACCGCTCCAAACGTTTAGCGATATCCCATCTGTGTTCCTTTCAAAATGAAGCTCCGTTCGCTCCTTGGCCCGCACTACATGTAACATGCCGTTTACTGGCAGAGCAGTTGGGTCGTTTTTAAAAAGATGCGACGATCAGCGATGCGCATTTGGGTTTCGGCTCCTATACACACAGACTGAGCGACATCTTGCAGCAGTGTCAAGCCACGTAGAGCATTACAGTGCTTCTGTTTCCACCTTTCAAAATAAAAACTCACTTATAAAACTAAATCCCGCTTGAGTTTTATCTTAAAGGTAGAATCAGCTTCATTTCCGCAGAGTTCCGGCTTTATTTTGGCTCACTTTACGCATTCATTTCCCAGAGAATGCTGCCAGTGCTCGTATGTGCACGCGTGAATGTGCGCCGTAGGGTCGTTTTGAGACTGATATGTTTAAATCAAAGGGGGCAGGCATGTCTTTACCTCCTACTTTTATTACATCCCACCAGGTCTGTTTAGGAGAACACGAACCAAACGGCGCAAAGGCCACCAAGCGCAGGCCGCATGTGGGGGCAATAGCATGGTTGGCGTCGGGGACTCTGGAGTGGACCGATCCGTGGAGACACTGAAGCTTTGGGCCACTTAAAGAGTCTGCCAAGGCTGTGGTGACCAGGTTGTTCTGGCACTGTTAAATGACAAAAGAGGTCTGGTGCACAGTAGGAAAGATTATTTTACGCACAACATTTAAAAGCTGTGGGAAGGTTATTGGGAGACTCGTGCAGGTAGACTGAGCGTGGAAAAGTTGCTAGTGGTCAGGGGGACAGGCTGAAGGGGGGAAATTATACGGAGGCCCCTAGTGGACAGGTAAGGAATGGCAGAATCAATATGATTTGATCAGCAGTTTAGTTCTACAGCATTAAAAACAAGTGACAAATTGGATACACATAGATGCAAATGTTCATTGTCTTCTACAGAATGTAAAGTGTTGCTTTTGTTTGTGGGACTTTGAGTTTATTCCTTGAGTATTTATTCAGCTTAAATGTCTGGCAACAAGATTCAGACAAAATATTTGAACTATTTGAAAGATTAAATTGACCCCAGATATGTTGGACCATGTGTGCATGTAGAAATAATCTGAGGGCAGTACAAGAACTGCTGTGCTGTATTACACTTCATGTATCTGTATGCATGTCATGTCATGTGCATCTGTATTACAGTCATGTGAAGTGTGTTAATAATAATGTTTTTAACAAGCAAACATGAGATTGTCATTGAAACAGTACCTACTGATGAACGGGATAGGCTTTAAAAAATGACAGAAATCTGACACGTTAGTTTTAGTAACTTTCATAATTATTTTTTAAATAAAGGATTAGCTACATGATGAAAAATAAGACCACTCCAACATCTGTCACATTTTCAAATTCATTAAGTTAGAATCAGGGGTTCCAGATTAGATGTAATGATTAAAACTTCCCTGATTTTGGTCTGATTTTGTCTTTACTAGTGAAGGGTGAGGTGTCATTGTGCCAAAGTCTGTCTCCAAATTATAATCAAAGAAAAGAATATACAATATAGATATGGCATATACAGTTTATTTAGGTAGAGCATATATAATACACCTAAAGATACAAGTGTTATGAGTTCACTCGATCGATCCATCCATTACCTATACACCGCTTAATCCTCACTAGGGTCACGGGGGGCTGGAGTCTATCCCAGCCGACTCAAAGTGAAGGTAAGGGACACCCTGGACAGGTCACCAGTCTATCACAGGGCTACACTTAGAGACAGACAACCAAGCACACTCACATTCACACCTACAGACAGTTTAGAATCACCAATTAACCTCAATGTGTTTTTGGACTGTGTGGGAAGAAGCCGGAGAACCCGGAGAGAACCCACGTTGCACAGAGAGAACATGCAAACTCCAAACAGAAAGATCTGGGGTGTCCAGGATGCATACCAGGGATCTTCTAGCTGCGAGGCGACGGTGCTAACCAGCGCTCCACCTTGCAGCCCGAGTCAAAGAAAAAAAAAAAGTCAACATATTGTTGCTCAATATGCAATTTCTTAAAATTATACTTTGAATTATATGAGAAGTGCCAGGAAATAGCCTTTGCTGCCAAAAAGAACATTTCGAATAATGTACTCTGGACAGATGAATCAAAGATGGAGCTGTTTGGCCACTGTAACAGTAGATGTGTTAAAGGCAGCTTTTCAGGAGAATAATCTCCTACCAGCTGTGAAGCATGGTGGTTCGCTGCCTCAAGAACTGGGCAGCTTGCAGCCATTGATTCAGTGATGAATTCCACATCATATCAAAGAGTGCTTGAAGATGATGTGAGGAAATTAGTGTGAAAGATGCTGCTGAACAGGATGCGGACCCTTCAGCGGGATAATGATCCCAGGCACGTTAACAAATCCACCAAATAATGGCTCAAAAAGAAGAAATGAAGGGTTATGGGATGGCAGGAATCAAAGCGAACATTTTGTTGCCATTGAAATGTTCGAAGGGATTCAAAACAGGCAATACATGCAAGAAAATCATCAAACATTATGCAACTGAAGCAATGTCAGAGACGTGTGGACACTTGTGCAAAACTCCTACAAAACGATACTTCTGCTAAAGTGGACACTACAAGCCTCAGCTTACTTTTTCCACTGAAGAATGACTGCATACTTGAAACTCTGCATACTTGAAACTCTGTATACTTTCACTCCCAGTCCTTCTTGTCCTCTCTCTTACACCACCTGGTGGCCATTAGCAAACATCAGTATCTATGAGATGGACTCGTCCTGTACTTCCTGCTGTCACCTTTATGTCTGCAGTAAAAAGGAAGTCATGATTTGACACCATAGCAAGCTCTCTCCACATTCTGTCAAGATTCCAAGTAAACATCTGCATTTCCCAAATACTACAAACATGTATGAAATGGCACATGCTATTGCACAATATCGTTTGATTAATTTGTAATTTATTCATTTAAATTATCTAAATATTCAAGTATTATTTTCTTTCAATAGAAAAAAATGTAGTTGCTCAACGTTTTTTTAAATTTTTTTTCCACAACCTAACGACAATAAATGAGCAAAAATATGCATTATTGTGTTTGTGTTCTTCTGAAATTACACTAGAGAGCAGCACTGCATTACTATTAGAAATGCACTCAGGGCACTTTTACTGATTGGATTACTTTAAAAAAGACACACACACACACACTCATACACACTCATACACACAACAAGAGTACCAACCTTTTTTTTTTCACCAGATTTCAACTCCTCTAATCTGCAGGATGCACCTGCAGGCCTCTTGTCTTTATTTAGTTTTATGTAAATGAAGTGGTGAAGTGTCAGCTCTCTCTAAATCCACCCGTGGTACACTGACAGTTTAATTTTTACCATTTGAAAAATATTCACTCTATACATGTAACAAATCCTAGAACAGCAGAACTGCCGAAAATCTTTACAGATTCAGACACTGTAACATTTGACGGTCTTGAGGTTATCACTGGGCAAAATTTAAATGGACTAATCTCACAAACAATGCAGATTTAACCCAATCTTCCCTGATTCATTGTGAGTTTCATGCCTGCAAACCCTCTAACCTATCGGCAGTACGCTCACTTTTCAAGTTAGCGGCCATCACACCCTGACAACACGCTGGACACTCTGTGCTCTTGTCTCTAACCCGTAAGGAGGCTGACTGACTGCAGCGTCTGCCTCATGTTGGATGGATCAACCCGTTCATTTCTCTTGACTTCATGTCATCCTGTTGTTTTCAGGCCAGAGTGGTGCAACAGTGCTGACAGCGAAAGAAGCAGAGACACGATGGACTGTCATGTTTTTACAGATTATGGGGCTCGAATCCTGCAAGAGCTTTTCAATTTGTGCTGAGGAATCATAACTCCTGTTCCTGTCTAAACTACGAGTCTGGCTTTTCCTCTCCCAGACTGACATCTAGTCATCTGTTTGGGACAAAGTATTATTTGACCATTAACAGTATGGAGGAGAGAGACTCAGCTGAAACATTGAATGAGTCTGCTCTAGAGTGTGCATCACAGTGATTCAAACTGGGACATAAAGTGTTCTCTAAATTATTTTTTTTAGATACATAATGCTGTGAGAAAAACTATCAGGTTTCACCATCTATCATCAATAGTTTGTCTCATATACTCACACATAAACAATTCTTTATTAATATCTTACACTTCTTGTTGCTAAAACTCTCTACAAATGTGATAAATTTCACAAATGATGAAGTAAAATAAATGGGGATGGGAATAGCATAAAAGGGGATATTTTAGTTAGGGTGTTATTTGAGGTGGTGAATTAAAACGAGTGAATAGGCTGGGAAAACCCTCAACAATCAAGCGCACAGGGTAATAGACTCCGTGTAGAAAGCTTCTTGATTGGGTCCTTCACTCGGGCACTGCGCCATTCACCCTCTCTGAATAATACGTGTAATAATCATTGAAATGTTGCAGAAAATTGTAGATCGATGGACAGAGTGTAAATCTGCCTTTTTGGGGACGGTACTGGTTGAAAACAATGATAAGGTGGTTAAAGAAAATTTCAAAAGATGAGAACAAGAAAGGGAGATTTGTAAACTAGGTGAAGAGAAATGTAGGAGAAAGGAATGTCTGTCTCTCCTCCACCGACACAGACAGATGTCAGCTTGAGTGTGAGGAAAGATAAGAGCAACACAAAGATGCAGAAAGGACGCAAAGAGGAACTGCAGAGAAAGTAGTTATGAAGGTAAAGAGGTTTTTAGTGGATTGAGAATGTTTTTTTTTTTTTTTTTTTTTTTTTTTTAAGTAAAGGTATGGTTGAGAGAAGCACTGTTGCCTCGCAGCAAGAAGGTCGCCGGTTCGCGTCCCGGTGGGGGCACTGGAATCTTTCTGCGTGGAGTTTGCATGTTCTCCCCGTGCAGCGTGGGTTCTCTCCGGGTTCTCCGGCTTCCTCCCACACAGTCCAAAAACATGTTGAGGTTAATTGGTGATTCTAAATTGTCCGTAGGTGTGAATGTGAGTGTGCTTGGTTGTCTGTCTCTAAGTGTAGCCCTGTGATAGACTGGTGACCTGTCCAGGGTGTCCCCTGCCTTCACCCTAAGTCGGCTGGGATAGACTCCAGCCCCCCGTGACCCTCGTGAGGATTAAGCGGTGTATAGATAATGGATGGATGGATGTGCACATTAGGTTGCACACTGAAAACATGTGGAGTGCCATTTACCTGAAAACAGCCAGGTAACAATTTCCACACAGACATTCTGAGTAATTTTTACTTACTTTACATTACTGGCAAATTTCTTTTCAATGCAAAATGTACAAAGTCTTTGATAGTAAATTTTACTCAAAATACCTTTGCATCTACTTACAAAACCCAGATAAAGGTGCTTAATTTTCATGATTCTACTTCATTTTGAATGATATTTAAGTAATGTTTACATAATTTATCTTCTACCTACACCACTATTCTAACAAAGTGTTGTTGCATTTTTAGCCTGGACTACTTTTAATTAAATTCAATTCTTAACAAGGCGTTTTACAAATACGAAATAACAGCAGCACTAATAACTCGAAACAATATTTCACTATTTCACTATTTTAGAGTATGTGTGTTTTGAGTCTACAGCTTTGAAAGTTCATCAAAAGCAGGGAGGTCAATTTCCTCACAAATCCTTTGTACATGAGAATGTAGTCCACTCATAATCAGTAGTCGAGTTGTAACAAAAAAAAATAAAAATAAATTTTTTGACACAGTGAACGGGGTGTTTTCTGGCCAACAGGAAGAGTCGAATCATGTCAGCGTCGATCCAGAAGAGCTGATTTTAGACTGAATCTATGAACAAACAGAGGAAACGGGAATCTCACAGACAGGACTTTATTCTCTCACCTTCACAACTACAGGACAGGACGCTTCATACAAAAATATTGGTCACCAACGTAAAGGTTGCTTTTGCCGTCAGGTGTCAGAACTGTGATGGCAGAGGCACAGTTTTATCTGGAACCTTGGAGAACATGTCGGTTTATTCTTTGGCGGATATGTGAGCCATCAGATCACAGAGTCTGTTGCTGTAGCCGAACTCATTGTCGTACCTGGAAGAGAAGAAGTCAGGATCAGCTCTGGAAGTCAACGTGACGTCATCAGACCGTCAGTAGACATCGGCCTTAAATTTATTTGATCATAAACTCTGGATGCTTAAAATAGTATTTGTGAAATTTTAGATTAACATGTTAGAATTAAGTATGTTTTGAGCTATTATGTATTCTGAATCTGTATTTTGCACTGAGCCTATGATTCTGTTTTCCTACTGAGAACAGCATATGTCCTTGAAAATAATATGGCCGGTGAGAACCGGTTCACACACTTGGAGACAGCAGAAACTCCTCTTTTCTATTAGATACGATTGTTACTTTAGCTACACGCCATACCAGCAACATCTACACACGTTGCTTACCAAAAATGTCAAGGACGTGGACAGAGCGTAGAAGTATGCCTGTCTGTGTGGGAGGAAGCCGGAGAACCCAGAGAGAACCCACGCTGCACGGGGAGAACATGCAAACTCCACACAGAAAGATTCCGGTGCCCCCACCGGGACGCGAACCGGCAACCTTCTTGCTGCGAGGCAACAGTGCTGCTAGAATAAATCTTATGCCAAATTTAGAGGAAACCTCAAAACCTGTCCTTTACAAAAAAAATGGTTAAACAGACTTTCTCTGCACATGAGACAAACACCTTGTTTCCACTCAGCTCTGAGTTCCTTCATGTAAACTTTGACATGTTTGTGAAACTCTCTTTAAAGAGGACGGACTGTGTATAGTAGTAAGTTGCATAATTAGTTAACAAGCAATTTAGTCAGGCCGCCACTATAGCTCAGCTGGTTGAGTTGGCGATCCATGTACAGGGTCTGTAGTCCCCAATGCAGTGGCCGTGGGTTTGAATCCCGCTCATGGCTCGTTGCTGCAAGTGCTCCCTCCCCCCCCCCGCTCCCTCCACACAGCTGAGGCTTAGGTTATTCAAAGTTTTTAGTAGGTTTGGTAATTATAAAATCATCATTCAAATCCTGGCAGACTCCTGTGGCACTCTCAAATTTTCTGCAAGGAAATTTTCTAGTTATTATTATTATTATTATTATAGGATATGCTCAATAAAGCTTTTATGAATTCTTTTTTTGTTTGTTTTTTTGTTTTACGTTAAGGCACTTTATACTCATTCTCACTGTCCTGATATTTGGACTTTTAACAAAACCATAAATACATAAACTATGCAACAGAACATTCACATCTTCAAATCCAGCACCGTTTTGAAACATAAGCTTATAAAGATAATAGTGGAAGAAAAAGACTTCAACTCTATCAGCAGGATTCCAACAACAACGAGAACATAAAAAATACGAACACAAATGTTACAAAAATAAGACTCTAAATACATCCATGTACACTGAACCATGTTGGCAGTGTGTGATCTTATCATAAAATACTGCCAACTGACTGTCTGTGGTGAATTCACTGCACCTCCTTAGTGTTCTCTACTGTAAATCTTTGCCTTTGGGAGGCTCCTGCTGGTTTTAAATTTGCAGTGAGGTTGCAGGACAGGTTGTTGTGATGATTAGAAGAATGATTTGAACAAACAACTCAAATTAAAGCGTCAAACAAATCAGAAACTACACTACATTGAATATCTGAAACTCGTTAATATACAGAAATGACATTTCCCTCCAGTGAAAGTAAGAAACTTAAGAGCATCATAAGTCGTGCAGATTTAACCAAAGCTCCTCCTCCTGCCAGCCACTCTCAGGGTTGTATTTAATGCTCCTCCAATGACCCTCTCGCCTCACTTGGTCCACTTTCTAAGTTTCAAGACCGTTTTCATCACCGACCAACAACATGCTGCTGACTCTCTGCCCTCTCATCGCCGCTCTAGCATGTAAGGACGCTGACGTACTGCTGGTTTGACCTCATGTTGGATTCATCAGCCTGTGTTTCTCTTGACTTCATGTCGTCTTGTTGTTTCCAGGTGTGAGCGGTGTGACGGTGTTAACACAGCAGCCTCTGGTTATGTCCATGGGGAGAGGGGAGACAGCCAGCATGGACTGTAACCTGGGAACTGTTACTAACAGTGAGGTTCGTTGGTATAAACAGATTCCAGGAGGGGTTCCTCAGTTTGTCTTATATTTCATGTACAGCTCTAGCAGTCCAACCTATGGCTCTGGTGTCTCCTCATCAAAGTTCACATGTACTCATCAGTCACAATCAGATTATCGTTTGATAATCAAGAACGTGGAGGAGGGAGACTCAGCAGACTATTACTGTCAAACATGGGACAACTCTGTTAATAACTGGGTATCACAGTGATTTATGCCGTGACAAAAACCTTGTCACAAGTGCTTCTGCTTTTTGAGACCGTACCACATGTCAGTTGTTAATAGAGCTACCCACCAAGCCTGACATACATATCACGTCATATAAGTGTGGTGAGTTAGGATGTATTTCCTATAAATTACACAAAAGCTGACAATTTCAGTGAGTTTTGGGGCGATGAGAGATCAACATAAACACAAACAGCTCAATACAGAACACTGTTAAACATGTGACACGGCATACTTAGCAGAATATGAAGTAATACAAGCCCTGCCAGTAATGACATTAAGAAAAGGACGTCAGCAGAATTCCAAGAAGAGCAGGAATGAAAAAAAACAACATAATACAACTCAAATGTTACATTACATTCTGACATGCACAGCTTAAGCGGTGTATAGATAATGGATGGATGGACGATATTCCACACATAGCAAAGGACAAAAATAGGTTTACGCCCCCAAAACATCTTCACAGGCTTTAATAATTACTTCAAAACAGATGTAGAAGTCCTAGAAGGAACCCAAATATTCAGTATTTTAACTTTGACATTGGTTAAAGTCACTATAAGCCCTTAACAATGACCAAATATTGACCTCAACATCCAAACTTGAAGTAAACATTTGCATTCATGTCTAACATATGATTCAATCTTCTTTACTGGACACATTTAATTTAACACCAGTGTGAGCTCAGTAAATCGGACTGTTTGTGCCATCGTTTCTTTCTGAAGTAAAACAACAAATAAAGCAGACCATATGTCAGACCATCACAATATTTTTGTGAACAACGGCATCTGTTACAAATGTATGATATGAAACAAGTCATATCTTCTTCATCGATCTTGTGAATAACTACTGAGCTGAGGATTGAAACTCCACCTCCTCCACCACTTCTCCTCTCCCCTGTGCCTTTATAAGTTTCCTCTTCTCGCCTCACTCCTCGTCTGCTTATTTCTCATCTGGACAGTAAGGGACACGTCGACCACCTGTCAACATGCTGGGGATCCTCTGCACGCTCATCACTGCTCTCACATGTAAGATGCTCTCCTCTTTTACAATCCTCAGAAATAAACCTTCCAGCAAAACCTGTCACTCACTGTGTTTTTCTGTGTGTGTTGACAGATGTGGATGCAGTTATAGTGTTGAGCCAGACGCCTGCTGACCACACGGTTTCTACAGGACAAGAGGTTGTTCTCAACTGCAACATTGGGAGATTTGACGGCAATTACGTTCGGTGGTATAAACAATTCCCTGGTGGAGTTCCTCAGTATGTTCTGGCTTTTGTACATTCTGGCAGTTCACTCAGGTTTGGAGCAGGATTCTCTGCAGACCGATTCAACTCTAAATCCTCATCCACCTTAGATTACCAGTTCATTATCAAACAGGCAGAGGCAGGAGACTCTGCTCAGTATTTCTGTCAGACATGGGACGACTCTGCTAATGCTGCTGTATCACAGTGATTCAAAGTGTGACAAAAACCTGCGTGGGAACACTGCAGCTTTTATGAACTCTCAGCAACGTTTCCAATCACTAAATCTGGAACACAACAAGTAATGACACCGAATGCATGTGTCTGCAGTGTGTGGAATACTCCGGCAGTGTTTTGGAATATAAGAAGACCGAAATGTTGACAGTGAAAGTTGGTCTCAACTGGATGTTTCGGTTCCACTCCCCTCGTCAGAGAGAGTCGGGAGGTTTTTGTACGGCCATGTATACAAACTGAATCACTGTGGTATTCGGACCAGGGACCAGGCTGACTGTAACAAGTAAGTACTTTTTAACCCTATTTTACAGCAGGACTGATGATCTTTGTTCTGTTGCGCTTTAGGTAAAAATGAAAACGATGCATATGTCACTAACTGGTTAAAGATATTTAACATGTTGGTCACTGAATAATAGATATTTTCTGCCCTGATACCAGGTAGTGGCAGTAAAGGCAAAAGGGAAATCTGATCACAACATCTGACACATTTTCAACAAATACTAAAAGTGCATTTATGGTTTAGGAATTTTAGTTGGCGAACATTTGCAAGATTGTCCCTGCTTTTTCTCACAGTTTGTTAACTTTTAAAATCGTAATAGTTAAACTGTTAGATAATCTATTGCGAGTATTTAAATTTGTGATATTAATGCTAAATTGTAATATCTGAGTAATAGTCTTTCTGGAGGAAATAATTAGAAATAATTTGGAATTTGACTGGAATTGATTTCTTACAGGATAGTCGGTTGTCTATCCAGCCAACATGAATTAAAAGATTATGTTGTAAGTTTATTATTGATAGCTTTTATTTTGAAAGGGAGCACATCATGTTTTAAGTGTGAATTTTAAAAAGTTTCACCAGTTTAAAATGTGCATAATTATACTGTCAACACTAGGATGTATTTTATTATTATATTTGAATTATTCCATTTCTTTTCTTTCTTTCTTTCTTTCTTTCTTTCTTTCTTTCTTTCTTTCTTTCTTTCTTTTAAATCATCATTTTGATTGCCTTTGTTTAAATGTACTTTCAGGCTCCAGCCTCTCTCCTCCGGTCCTGACAGTCTTCCCTCCGTCCGCTGCTCAGCTGCAGTCCAACAAAGCCACTCTGGTCTGTCTGTCCAGTCAGTCTGTGCCTTTTGCAGATGTGACCTGGTCGGCTGGTGGGAGTCCAGTGAGCGCTGGGATCTCTACCAGCACCGCTGTTCACAAACCAGACCAGACTTTCCAAATCAGCAGCTATCTGGACATCCAGACGTCAGACTGGAACATGGATAAGGTCTACACGTGTAAAGTGTCTTTGGGGTCTCACACTGCAGAGAAAAACATCAAGAAGTCCGGCTGTTCCACTGGAGAATAGCAGAGGACCAGAATGACCGTTTCACATCTGCTTCTTTGCTGTTTGTGCTGATTCTGTTTTTACAAAGTTTAGATATTAGAAAGTGTCCGCATATTTGTAATAATGTTGTGACAGTTAAGTAGGTCATTTTTTCCCCTTCTGCTTTGCAATTGATCCACGAAATAAATGGATAAAAAAAAAGGTTGTTTATTTATAATTTTTTGTACGTTGTAAACGCAGTAATTCTAAAATTCACTCAGTTTTGACTGTTTGCGATGTTTATTCCACTGATAATTAGACCTGGTGTACAGGTCACAGTCACATTTATTTCTAAAGTACATTTTAAACCACAGAAGTTGAACGTATAACACAATAAAATGCAACAACAAAAATACGAATCTGAATAAAAGTAATGAGAGAACAAGAATTAAAGCTACAACACTGTAAGAGAAAAAGTGTTAAAACACACAGATAACACAAGCATTTATAGATTATGCTCACTGTCACCTTTTCATTTCCTAATTTGTTAGAATTAATTTAAGATTGGCATTCCTGTAAATTCAGAAGATTACGTTGTTGTCACGTTTGCACACAACAGCCAAAAAATTATCACATTTCTAGTTTAAATTTCTATTTCTAGCCCTTCGTCATACGTGGATTCTCATTTAGTTAGAAAATTATTTATAGCTCGAATAACGTTTCTGATCGGATGAAGCTAATTGCAACACAATCAGCGCCACAAATACAACAGATTTCAAGATCACGACAATCTGGCAACCACAAAAAAATACATTAAAAAGTGGAGAAATACTGAAAGATTTAAAAACTGTATTTAAAAAAGAAAGTGAAAACAATCACAAACATTTGTAAAATGTTATTTTAGATATATGATTTGTTTTTTTTTTTAGCTGATTTGAATAAACTGAAAAAAAAATTAAGAAAAACCGATGCACAGTTTGACTTTTTTTTTCTTCTATTGTCAACATGTAAATTCCTTTTTATGTGATTTTACTAGATATTACCTGTAATTCAACTAAACTGGGAAAATCAATCAAATCAATCTGTTTTCTTTTAATCCTTAACATCCTTTAAAAAAAAAGAGAGACAAATATCTGTCACATCGTTATATTTTTCACTGATTTAAATACAGTATAAATTGTACAATTGTGTGGTTAAATGTTATCAAGATGTAAAAACACTACATTTTTACTTTGGTGTTATTTTCAGTTGTGGCCTAGTTTGATAGGGTTACCATATAAATGATTATTTTTATTTGCCCTGTGATTTTACTAGTTATTATCTGTAATTTGCTGAAACAGTCGATTGGCTTACACTGTAAAACAACAGCAACTACAGTTAAAAACATTTTTAGATTGTGGGATAATTTTAAAAGGAAAGTAGTATTACTGTGACATCAAATATTTAATAATGTCTGATTGAGATGCTTGGTTCCATGTGTCATTGTTGAATAGTTATGGTTGCTTGCATTGATTGGACTTGAACATTTCTGAAGTCATCAGGGGAAAAAAACGAGCTCGGTCACAGCACACTTAGACATAAGAGATAAACTGTCAACAACCGACCAAAAGCTAATAACACAGACTTGAATGTGTTTGCAGTCAGGGACAACTGCCTTATTTTTTTCCCTAATCAGCACTCGACCACTTTATTTACATAAAGCTGTAACTATGAAGAGGAGGCTGCAGGTGCATCCTGGGAAGAGAGAGCGTTAGTGTAGATAGTTGATGCTTCACTGACAGAGCATGAAGATTCAGTTTCATTTACAACTCATTTAAGCTGGGGGGGTTTCTAAATTATTTTTTTAAATAACTACTGCAGGCAACTCAAATCACATAAAAGCACATTATACAGACAGTGTGCTGCTCAGTCAGTAGTGTAAAGTAACCTTTACTCAAGCTTGAGTGAGGAGTATTTTTAATGTATGCTTCTTGATACATCTACTCAATTCAATTCATCCATCCATCATCTATACACCGCTTAATCCTCACTAGGGTCATGGGGGGCTGGAGTCTATTCCAGCTGACT